TAAACCAGGGAATACCCATGGGCCAAGCCCGCACCTATGGTTAATACCATTATTATTTACAAAACACCAGCCTAAGGTATCACATTTTCTTAAAAGGCCAGGCACGGTGGCTCATGCTTGTAATCCCAACCCTTTGGGAGGCTGACGTGAGCGGATTGCTTGAGCCCATGAGTTCAAGACAAGCCCAGGCAACATGGTGAGACACCATCTCTACAAAAAAGTATAAAAACTAGCTGAGTATGGCGCGAGGATTGCTTGAGTCCAGGAGGTGGAGGTTGCAGTGATCGTGCCACTGGACTCCAGCTGGGACAGCAGAGTGAAAACCTGTTTTTAAAAAATTTTTTTTTTCTTTTGAGACCGAGTTTCCGTCTTGTCCCCCAGGCTGGAATGCAATGGGATGGTCTCCGCTCACTGCAACCTCCACCTCCCAAGTTCAAGTGATTCTCCTGCCTCAGCCTCCTGAGTACCTGGGATTACAGGCACGCGCCACCACGCCTGGTTAATTTTTGTGTTTTTAATAGAGACGGGGTTTCACCATGTTGGCCAGGTGAAAAAAAATGAAAACAATTCTTTAAAAAAAAACCAATTCTTAAAAAAAAATGAAAACAATTCAGATGTCCATCAGCAGAAATGAAGGTGTAAAAGTGATAGCGTGTACACGTGGTGGATATGCGTGCAACGACCATGGCCACATACTGCGATGTGAGTTCATCTCGCCACGTAGCCATGAGCAGAGCAGCCAGACACCACACAGCAGCACCAGAAGCTTCCATTCTCGTAAAGGCACAGCCAGCACGTAGTGTCAGAAGTCGGGGAGGAGGGGAATGCGGGATGGAGGATGTCCTGCCTGATTAGAGCCCTGGGTGCTCTGGGAGCAGGTCTGTTTCTGGGTGACACTGGCTAGCGGGCATGTCACTTAGTGAAACTGTGTCACACCATGCAGTGAGAACAGGTGCATACTTGGTGTGCAGTGCACTTCAGTGTCATTTTCCTAAACTTGCAGCCCACGTGTGAGCACGTTCAGCATTCCAGCCACCCCACAGCCCTTCTCCAAGTTACCACCAGAAACCCACACGCCACTTTTTTTTTCCTAGATGGAATCTCCCTCTGTCGCCAGGCTGGAGTGCAGTGGTGCGATCTCAGCTCACTGCAACTTCCACCTCCCAGGTTCAAGCGATTCTCCTGCCTCAGCCTCCCAAGTAGCTGGGACTTATAGGTGCGTGCTATCACTCCTGGCTAATTTTTGTAATTTTGTATTTTTGACATTAGGTGACACCAGACTGACCACAGTGTCCCAGTATGTTGGCCAGGATGGTCTCGATCTCTTGACCTCATGATAGGCCTGATTTGGCCTCCCAAAGTGCTGGGATTACAGGCATGAGCTACTGCGCCTGACCCACCACTTTTTTTAATGAAGGAGTTTTTGTCACTGTCCTCTGACAGGTAAGGAAACTGAGGCTCACAGGTGAAGTGGTTTGGCCAAAGTCACACAGCATGGTGCCTACCATGGCAGGATAATTTGTAGACAGTGCAGCCAGTCCCAACAGGACCAGGAGAGAGCTGTGCCCCAGGGCCGGGTTCTTTCCTTCACAGTGGAAGACAAGCAGCCAGAGTATTCTAGCCAACCCAGCTCCTTGAGCGGCAGAGATCATTTATAGGGGACTTCCTAAATAAAGTGCCCTGGGGAAGCAAGCTCTAAATGTCCTCTTACAAGAAGACATTAGGTGACACCAGACTGACCACAGTGTCCCTATCAGCACTGCCCTCATCCCTGGGGGTCACCTAACATCTTGCTCCCCCACCCCCACACTCCAGTTGATACCGCTTCTGAAATCAGGGAAGTCTCTGAGCTCTTTTTCTGAGCGGCAGACGAGCTGCGGATTGCAGGAGCACCGGCCGCACAGAGCATTCCCCAGCTCCTGGCCCAGAAGGTGGAAAGTACCTTGTCAGGTTTGGGCTCGTGCATGAAATCTGTGAAGCAGTGTCTTTGGCACTGGGCCAAAGTCAGGACGAGGTGGCTTCCCTCTTGATCACTACAGCAGCTGTCTATGGCTGACTGCCCCCAGGAGCCTGCTTCGTTTGGGATCTTTTTCTTAAATATTTTTATTAGTATTTCAAACATACAGGAAAAAAACAAACGTTTTCCATTCATCTTGATAGCAAAATACCTTTAGATCCACACACCAAGATGAAGAGCACCTTGTGTCTTGGATAGAAGTAACAAGCAGATGCAGGCAGCTCGCAGGCACTCTGGGCCGGAGGAGCTGCTGCCAGGCCAGGTGGAATGCATGGGCACTGCTCAGGGGAGCTTCATTTCTCTGCTTCCAAAATCATTGTTTTCTGGAGTCTCACCTTCACCCTCCTGGACAGGGGTAACCTTACCTGTGGAGGAGAGGGCGAGGGCTCAGGGGGCGCTGGGGTGGCACGAGAGGCCCAAAGACCTTGGCAGACACGGTGGGCTTGGCAGCAGGGCAGTGGGTTAAAGAGGAAGCTTAGCCAAGCCCAGCGGGAGCTGATTTGACAGCAGTGCCCTTAGCAGCTTGATTGTGCGGATTTTCAGGGCTATTGAGCTCAAGTGTACAAGCAAACTGGAAAGATAGCTTTGTTGGGTTTTTTTTAAATGATAAAAGCATAATGACAGCATATCCACTCCTTTGAAGGCGCCCCCCACCCCCGTGTTCTTTATCTCAGTTTTCTCCATCAAGGTTAACCTAAATCCTGCTCAATTAACAGCCAGCCACTGCGTACCCAAAGAGCCTGTGGAAGTGTGCAGGGTGGCCCAGCCTGGGCATTCTCCAAAGTAGTGACCATGGGTGGCTCCTTGCTCAGGGTACAGAAGTTGGCAAGTGATGGGTGGCCAGGGACCTCGCTTCGGGGTGCCCCTCTGCCCTCAGCCAGCTGTGTTTCCCCTGGTCTCTGGTGAGCACATTCTCCAGCTGCTTTGCGTGAATGAGCTAAGGGAGGGATTGATCTGGCTTACTGCCTCCCCTCCCTCGAGCCTCTGACACGAGTTTGAAGTGGATGCTCTGCCCAGCCCCGGGCCTGCAACCACTCCCGGCTGAGCACGGGCTCTCCCTGGGGCAGAGAAGTTGTTTTTCCAAATGCTCCTTGTTCTTAGGAAACCTGGGAAGGGGCAGCCGAGTGGAAGAGAAAAGCACACCTTGTATTGAGCACACCTGCAGGTGAGCGAATCTGTCCATCCACCCTGTGCCAGGGCCGTCCTTACAGCAAGGACCCCGGGGATGTGTCCGTTCCCATCAATGTCATGTTAGCAAGCGGTGACAACATCCCTCTGTAGGAGGCATCCTGAACCACTCCGTCCTCAGACAGTGACAGGGCCAAAGGGAACCAGGAATCATTGTCTTATCCCCATCACAGCCGCCCTAAGATTCAGGGCACATGCACCAAGCCCGGGGCCTCTGTTTCTGTGTGGGAAGTGGCGAGGTGCTCCCGGAGAAGGCAGCAGCTTTAATTCCGGGAGATGTTCTCGCTCCAGTGTTCGCTCCCATCTCAGCACCCATTCCTGCTCCCAGTCAGGTTGGTTCTTTGTGGTTCAGATCTGTCACCTCTTAATGAAGTAGCTTTCTGGCTGCCAAGGATTGAGAGCTGCTACTGGGAAGTGTAAGTCACTAATAGCATGGAAAACACTGTGAAATACTCCAAGGTGCCAAGCTGGGCCCAGCCCACTGTGGTTCTAAAAGGCTAATAAAAATCCACCAATTAATTGTGACAGCTCAATGGGAAATTATTCAATTGTGAACAGGGGCAGGCTGCAGCTCAGAAGGAGGAGGGGAGAGGTTGCCATAGTAACATCAATGTAAGTTCTCATCTCAGCCGCAGAAGCCAGCCCTGGAGTGAGCCTCATCCCACTGCCGCCTCTGACACGGGATGGGATGTCAGAGACACCAAAGCCGAGTTTGAAATGGATGCTCTCCCCGGCCCCGGGCCAGCAGCCACTCCTGACTGAGTGTGGGCCCTCCCGGGGGCAGAGAAGTTGTTTTCCCAATGCTCCTTGTTCTTAGGAAACCTGGGAAGGGGCAGCCGTGTGGAAGAGAAAAGCACACCCTGTATTGTGTTCCTCTGAACCTTTGACCGACTGCCGGTTATGGGGATCTAGGGGAGGGGTGTTTGGGTCCAGGCGACAGGAGTTCCATCTCCCTGAAGGGAAGGCGCCCCAAGCTCGCACTGTGGGGAGGCCAGCATTCCAGTCTGGTTTTGCAGTTGTCACGACTTTTATTTCCAAAGATACACACGACATATTCTGATTTTGAACATGTGAAATGCAACCTTGCTCTAGCAAAAATGTATTCCTTCCCAATTCAACTCCCAGGAGACTCCCGGCCGGGCTGACACTGGTCGGCGGAGAAGAGCCGTCAGAGGGGAAGGCACACCACAGCTTCCTGCTGGGGGCGTCCTGTGCTGATGGGATGGAGAAGGGGACTGGGTTCTTCTTTCCCATTTTTAACTTTTAGAACCATCCCCTGTACCCAGTGGAACGTCCTCATTTGCAGTTGCCCTCTGACATCAGCCACAGTCGTCCCTACGGAGACTATCACAACTTTGATCACCCAACTGTGAGCACTCACCCCACTGCCGCTGCCGTGCTCTGCCATTCACATTCAAGGCCCCAACACAGCCTCAGCTCCGTGCCCCTGGGGCCAGGGGGCAGCTGGGAGTCAGAGCCCCAGGGGAAGAGAGAGGCTGGGGCAACTGAGGAGCCAAGGCAGAGCCTCCTTTTTTTTCCCCCCATTTTTAAGATGGGTTGATTATGCATAAGTAAATAGTCATGCAACCGCCAGGAAAATTTGGATTCATTTATATTGCTGAGTAAAATATAAGAACATAAAAAGAGTAAGGCTAAATTACAAGAGCAGAATAAGGCAAAATCACAACAGCAACGTAAGGCTTAATCACAATTTGGAACTTCAGTACGACACAGACTTTCCACTTTCTGCAGTATGACCCTGTTAGAGATAAGAATAATGTTAAGGTGACTTTCTTCTAACAGTAAATTTCCTTTTATACTTTAGGTTCCTTTTCGACACTGCCTAGTTTTTCGCTTCAGCAAAGTTGGAGATCAAAGGTAAGCACACACCTAGCCCGTCCTACTGTGTATCGTTATGGTGGCCGCGCCTACATGATCTCGGGGGCGTGGTCTTTGAGACTTGGGGAGAAGGCAGGAGTGATGGCAGTGGGGCAAACCCTTCCACGATGCCCTGGCCTTTCACCGCCGACCGAAGCGGAAGCTGAAGCCGCCCTTCTCCCTGCTGTAGCCATTGAGCTCCTCAGCCAGGTTCCCTAACGGGCCACTGGTCTTCTCCCCCTCAGCAGGGAGGAAGCCGGCGGCCTCACTGCCTTGGTCCTGCCTCCTGAAGTGGAATCTGTGGCCGGCATGCTCTCTGCCCGACATCTGCAGCCCCTTGGCCATGACGAGCAGGGCCTGTGGCCGTGACGCTCTCGGCCACTGAGAGGAGCCCCACACGAAGTGGGGTTGGGGCCCCTTAGCCAGGTTGGCCCAGCTCCCTCCAGCTCCGATGCCACCCATGGCGTCTGTGGGCTCTCTTCTGTCCAGCAGAGGAAAGCAGGTGCCCAGCTGCAGGAGGAGGAGGTAGGCCAGGGGGTAGGGCCTTACCATCTGACCCAGAGGAAAGAGAGGCAGAGTTACAGGCTGCACACGTGCCACACGTCACTCATCCACAATGCTCCCCCGGCCAGGCCGCCAGCAAAGGTGTGAGCTGGGCACCCAGCTGAGCGCGGCTTCCGAGCAGTGCTGGGACTAGGCCACTGTTTATTAGCAGGATCAGGAGGTGATGGTACCAATTAGGCCGGCTCTTCTGCAGTCCCCATGATCTGCCTGCCTGGGCAGCTTCGCACTGTAAATCTAACCGCTGCTGGATGGCAGAGCGGTGCCCAGACGGCCCCGGGAGAGTGAGCGAATTCACGCTCATTTTTCTCTTATTATAAAATGGCCATATCATTGCAGAGCCGTGGGGTGGAAAGTTAAAAGCATCAATCTCCCTTAGTTTTTAACTTGATAATAAATGGATCTAGCTATTCTGTTTAGCTGGGACACCCTTCTGATGTCTCTTTCACGTGGGAACGAGTTGCTCCTGAAAGCCAGGAACAGATTTGATGGTCCTGGCTTAATTCGGACACCCACCTGGGAGGGAGCGTGTGGGCACAGCTGGGACCTGGGCACCAGGTCCGCCAGGCTGTGAGCTAAGAGTTCACACATGTGATTGTACTTCATCTTCATAGTAATCCTGCTGGGAAGGTCTGCCAGTCCCACTTTTCAGGCAACAAAACTGTCAGAAAAGCTGAGATTGTGCCCAGGACACACAGCTAGAAAGTCAAGGCTCTGAATTCACGATTCTTTTTTTTTTTTTTAGACGGAGTTTTGCTCTTATTGTCCAGGCTGGTTGAGATGACTAGGCTCACCACAACCTCTGCCTCCTGGGTTCAAGCGATTCTCCTGTCTCAGCCTCCCAAGTAGCTGGGATCACAGGCATGCGCCACCACACCCAGCTAATTTTATATTTTTAGTAGAGACAAGAGTTTCTCCATGTTGGTCAGGCTGGTTGGTCTTGAACTCCCGACCTCAGGTGATCATCTCACCTCGGCCTCCCAAAGTGCTGGGATTATAGGCATGAGCCAGAGCTACCGCGCCCGGCCTGAATTCAGGACTTTAATGGCCCAATGGCGTCTTCAAGAAGCATATATGTCTGGTAGGGTCCTCCCAGCCCTCCCATTTCACAGGGGTGGCATCAGGCTCAAACAGCTGAGGTGACTCATGGCCTTTTCAGTGCCAGAGCTGCAGTTCAACCCCTGATCTAACTGGGCTTGACTCAGGAAGGCATGCCCTAGCTCCCCACTCCACTCCATGTGGCACTCTGGGGATCTGAAACCCAGCCTCCTGCAATACACCTGGCTTCGTCACATTTGCTCGCTTGCCTGGCAAAGGAATCCTTTTTGGTAATGACCACGGGGGAACTGGAGCTGGCTTGTACCCTGCTGAGTCAGACTGAAGCTAGAATAGAGAGTGCCAGCCCTGGAGAAGACAGTGCAGGAGTCCCCAGAGCCCTTTCCAGAAATGGCTCCCTTGAACACATTTCAAAGAAGTGAGCTCAGCCAGGAAGCTTTTAGAAACATAATAAATGCAACCCCACTTGCTACCCAAATCCAGAGCTAAGCTCCTCTAGTCCCCCGGGGGTGGAGTGACCTCTCTCACATGCTGCCAGGAAACCCTTTGGTTTTCTGCAGGGGCCCAGCCCCATTCCCTCCTCCTCAGAGGAAGCACTTTGCTGCCTATGGTGTGGACCGGAGGGCGTTTCCGTTCTGGTGGATAAATCCACTGGGGAGTGGGCTTGGGTGTCTAGAAAGGAGACACCCTGACACAGAACAGCCCCTGGAGTGGCCCTTCTCCTCTTTTAGGGGGTCCTGCACCCTTTCAAGCATCTGGTAGAAACTGCGGATGTTCCTCACTGGAAAGGGGGCCCCAGCACGAGTCAGGGCTTCAGGCCCCACACCCAAGAAGCGGCAGGGAAAGCACAGGGGCTAGGCTGGGTCCTAGGCCTGGCAGGGCAGCCGTGACCCATCTGTGCTGCTCTGGGCTGTCGGCAGGTGAGGCACTGGTGTCCCCTCTCCGGGCCCTCCCTGTCCTCTGCTTCTCTGTGCCCTCTGACTGCCCACGCCCAGCTCCTGCCCGGTTGGGGCCTGAGCTGGAGTTCCTGCCGGGGACAGGGCGGCTGTGCTCACCGTGTGGCCAGACCTGCTCCCAGGAGAGCTGGCTGGTGGATCCCTGTGTGCCGGGGCTGGGCTGGGCAGAGCTGCTGTGGGTCCTCGTCCAGGAGGCCTGGCCCCTGGGCTCTCCCTGCTTTATACGGTCGCCCCGCCCGCCTGCCAGCCCGTGGTGCGCTTGCCTCGCATTCCTAACCCTGGGATTCCATTGGGGACGCCGGTGGTGAAGGGGGGCGGTGCTGACAGCATAGATAAAAAGACCCAACAGACAGGATGTGGTCTGATGAGAGGGCAGGCGGGCTGCCCTTTGGAGGAGAGTGGACAGCATCATTAACTGCAAATTGCCAGCTCAGACCCTCGAGTCCCTGGGCGGGGTTCTATGCCCACCCTTCATCACCCCCAGGGTCCTGTGTCTGTTGGGTCAGCACCTCACTCTCTGGAGAGGACATGGGGCGGGTGGACTTCTACCCCGACATACCTGCTACCCGGCTAGCAGGATGGCCCTCGGGCAGAAAAGCCACAGAAACCCATGAGGCCCGTGGTTCAGAGGCACGGGGCTGCGAGGCTAAGGCAGGTGCACCTCCTGGCAGGTGGAGCCCTCCAAGACCTGTTCTCCAGGAACCAATCAAGGGGGCATGGCAGATGCCCAGGGCAGCAGTGGAGCATTCGCCTGTGGCCCCCAGCCCCTCCCGTCCCATGCCCCACCCTGTCACTGAGGATCACCTCTGGGAGGCCAACAGGAGGACCCAGCCTGTGCTGGGATTCTCCCTCCACTGAGAGCAGGCAGGTGCGTGATGAGGCAGCCCCACCCCCACTGTCAGGAACTGAGCACAGAGGACCTCCCCCAGCCCAGCGGCCCCACCCGGCTGACACACCCCTGCACCTGGCGTGCTGGGGGCGTGTCAGAAATCATGGGAATAGGAAGCGTGTGGACACTTCCCCAGCGACCTGAGGTCAGCACTGGAATCTCCACTTCTCTTCGGGCTGAGCACCCAGGTGCGGGCGGAGGGTCTGTGGATCGAAGCCCATGCCTGCGCTGTGCTGGCCAGAACTGGCTTCCATCCCCGAAGCTGGGGCTGCCTCCCGTGGCCTGAGGAGGCCCCATCCTGGGTGTGTACACGTGTGTGTGTGCTCGTGAGACGAGGTGTGGTGTCCTTCTGTCTCCCTGGTTGGTGCTGGTTGACTCTGACAGTGGACGCTGGGGTACCGCCCATGGTGGGTCCCTGGTGCGCTGAGAGCCTGGGGCAAGGCCTGCCCTCTCCGTGTCTCAGCACCCTGCGGTGTAAAATGAGGCTTGGCTTCCCGAGCTCTGCTTCGCAGAATTTCTCTGGAATGGCCATGGAATTTGGGGAGGGCAATGTTGGGTCCAACCCTGCAGGCACCCCTCTGCCCCACAATCACCTGTCCGCCCTGCACGCACCCCTCGGCCCCGCACGCACCCCTCGGCCCCGCACGCACCCCTC